CCTATTGCTGTCTTTGGGAAAACATTCATTAATTGCTTTAAAAATAACAATAATAAAAGAATGGTTACAGCCTTTCAGAGGATGTTCTGGAGTGGTGTGTATAACACATGCAGTTACCCTACTTTGAAGTATAAAATTCCACATATCATTGGAAAATACGTTTTTGTCCCTCTTTCCTGACTCTCCATCATCAATAAATACAGGAAAAGTACACGACACACAACACAGCTTGCTGGATGCAGTGGGAAGAGCAATGAAACCCCAGGGCATCAGGTCAACCTCCAGGGCAGAGGTTTTCCAATGTTTCTACAGCCAAGGCTCAGTTGAGTAAGGCTGCAGTATTCCCAGCTCGTCAGGATACAGGGTGGGCTTGGACAGTGGCACACACTCTCTTGAATGTGTATCTGCACCGGCATGGGTGCAAAGGATTTGCCATCCTGTCTGTGACACTAGAAGCTTCTTTTCAACCTGCTAAAGTGGATCTCTGAAGTACTTCTACCACACTTCTCTCTAGGATTTCCCAGAAGGGAAAAAAGTAAATCCACATGTGGTGGCTAGCATGTACACAGAACGCCTGAAGCTTGTGGAAGTGCAGATTTATTGCACGGCACAGAGAGGCGATGCAGCACGTGCACCGTGGGCCCACCGGCCAGGATGCCCCAGCGCACCGGACTTGCCACGCAACCAACACAGGTCCTGGGCTCAGCTCTACTCACAAAGTATGCTGCTTTTGGGCTGCCTGTGAATGTGTGAATCACAGATGTAGCTCCTGGGCTGCAGAGCCTGTCTGACACTTTCAGCATTTACTGTGTCCTATGTTGAGTAGGCATATGTGATGGATGCAGCTGGGGAACACATATAACTTGAGGTTGTGAGGTGTATATACTGAGACTAATTAACATGCATAACTTTATTGATACCAAGACTAAGAAATGAGGAACAGGAAAAAATACAGCAAACCTTCATTTTCTCTCCTATACAAAATAAGACTTTTCTTTTTAGCTTCTCTTCTTGTTGGGATTTTTTTTTTTTTGGACATTATTTTAGAAGCACCTAATGTATTTAGCAGTAGGTAGAATGTGTGTACTGTTTGTGTACTTTTTCTGTACACTTTTTTGTGTATACTCTTCTATGTATACTTTATGTGTACTTTTCTGACTGATACACTGTCTTTCTGACTGGTAAGCTGTCTTTCAGACTCAGATACAAAGGATTTGCAAGGATTTGAGGTTTTAATAGACCTCCCAAAGAGATTATAAGAAGATTTTCAAAGGGCTGTTCTACACTCACAGTATTTCTTCTCTCCAGAAATGATAAAAATAAAACATGTCCTGTTTCCAGAAAACTTTGACAGCTTTCATGATGTTTTCCTAAAAATACCTATTTCCTTTGTATTACTTAAGAGTGTAACTCCCCCATATGGCTGAGGCTACAGCTGCTACAAATAGCTTAAAAAATTAGAAAATGGAGAAATTTCTATTTCTATTTGGACTGCTTATTTGCACACCTCTGTAAGAATATTACTTCATCATGCTTGTAAGATCTGGCTGTCCATTCTTTGCAGACAGAGTGGATTTCAAAGGAGCATCTTGTTTTTGAGGTTTAGGCACATATTTACATGAAGGTGCTAAATTTACCCATGTCACACAGTTAGGCTGGCTCTCTTTTCCTCATTTCCCCAAGGAAGTTTGAGGGTATGCATCAGTGATCATCACAAAGATGTGTACAGACCACAGTATTTAAAGGTTTGTATTAATGATATGGGTGTGTAGATTTCCAGTGGATTTTACTGTTGCATTTACCAGCTGCATCATGGTAAATCTTCAGAGCTCTGGGGATGTTTGAAGATATTGCAGAAGTTTATATAGGCATCTGTATGGCTTTAAACTGGACAGCAGATATCCACAAAGAGATCTAGAGCATGGCAGAGCCCTGCATGATGCTTAAAATCTGGGAAACAGTGATGGGAACAGAGCTGTTATTCATAAAATGAGAATTTTATCTGGTCTTGCTGTTTCTGTATTTTTAAAAATGACACAAACCCAAGAAACATTGATACTAGCAACAGTAACAAGAGTAACGGTGATGTAAACTAACGTTCACAGAAATCTTTGAGAATACACCAAAATACACCAAAATCTTTGAGAATACACCAAGGCACAGCACTCAGGGGTGAAACCTGACCAAGTTTCTGCCACTTTTACCATGGCAGGCTGGAGTAACACACTCACCATCACACAGCAGTTCTCAACTGTAACCTCTTACAGTCCCCACTGACGAAGAAAGGATACATTTCTAACTTAATCCAGACTGCCACATGGTAAAGCCATCTGGGAGGATATTTTGAAGGAAACAGATGGAAAAGGAAGAGATTCCTCTGAATGTAGTGTAAGATTTACATTATCCTCCATGAACTTCCATGTAGTCCCCATGTTTATATAATTTATCACTATTTCCTTAGACAGCTCAGATTAGGAAGCCTGCATGAGCTCATGTTCTTGTTGTTAATTCTGAGTCTGAACCTCCCTCCTTTAAAGGGAAATTCAGTAGTGTAAAAAGAAAATGGAGAAAGGCAACCGGACTTAAGTGAAACCCAGCAGCATGAAGTTCCTGACTGTCCCAGGAATTACAGTTTTATCTCCTCCTTCTTTCAGCCTCGGGAAGACACTGTCATGAGTGCTTGCTCACAGCGATAAATTTTGTTCTCTGCCATGCACCCACACGCAGCAAAACCGCAATGTTGTGCTAGCATAAGAGTGGGAGCAGGGCCTATTAAAACCAGGAAGGGTTAAAGACTAGTCAGTGATTTCACTGAACATCCCTCAGGCCAAGGATTAAAAAACCGAAATGTTCTCTGAGTGAAGACATGGCACACAAATAATTTAAAGAGTGTAATTTCACTAGTCGTGTTGTGATGACTGGGGATTTCTAAAAAGCCCTCTCTCTCCTTTCATGCATTCTTCCGTGCCTCCTCGTTTTCTATACAAACATTTCCATTACTAATGGGGATGTCAAACGGCCTCCTTTTCTCTCTCTCTCTCCCTCTCTCTGTGTCTCTGACCACGGAGATGCTGCCGAGGCACTGTGCAGCAGCGGCTGCATCCAGCTGGCTGAAACACCCTACGACATCCCCACCGGAGTCATTGCTTTGGGAAAGAAGGGATGGAAAGATCCATACAGGGAGCCCTCGTACTCTGGTTCCAACATCTACAACATTTTGCCATCAATTAAATCTGTCATTACTTTGTTCTGCTACCAAAAGACGGAGTCCCAGGTCCCTTCTTTGTCCTTCCACACCCCAGTCCCGCCTCAGTCCCAGCGATTTTTTTCTCTGTTGTGCTAGGGCTCGCACTCGATTACTGTTCAAACAAAACACCCACAGGGGTAAGTGCCCAGGGAGACTGGAGACCTAGTGGCACCACACATGCCATCAGCGGCAACGGCTTCTGCCAGGCTAGGCTGCAGGGAGAGCCACCAGCTCTAGACACCTTCATCCCGCTGACCCCGGTGGGGATGAGCTCTGCTATGTACCAGAGGAAACCACAACACAAACAGCCTCCTGGGAGTCTGCCTCCCGGATTTGGCCCCCTTTGCACAGCAGGGTTTAAGCCTCCCTGTCTCTCAGGTGCCATGGAGGAGATGGCTGGCTTTGTGCCGACCGGCAGATTTACTACCATGTTGTAGTAGGAACAGCCTGACTGCAGCCGTAACAGTTCAAGGATGTAAGCGAGACCAGGGAGAGCAAATATCTTTTATTAGAACAACTTGGCATGTTTTGAATTGTGTGGTGTAGTCATAAGGTTATAGATGGTAAGTCCTTGGGGACTGACGTTGTGTTTCTTGCATAAGCTGGCCTAATGAAAGACATTACCTCTCCTTGCAAAACTTACCTCACTTGAAAATACTACTACATTCACCCTGTATGTTATCTCTGCCATTCGGAGACGATAATATTATTGCCAGTGCCATGGATTCATCATTTCTGTGACTGTATTGATTTCTTTTGTAGACACCCGATTCCTGCACATGCTTTGGAGTTACATCATTTCACCCCTCCAAGTCACAGCTAGGATGTTTTCTGTTTCTTATGTAACAGCTCCTAATTCAGATTACAGTAGACATTACAATAATGTACACTGTGCAATAACATATTAAAAGCATAAGGTGGAAAAACAAAAGTATTATTCCCTTCCGAAAGCAGACCTCTTTCCAGAAAAGCAATGGACCTTTTATGCTCTTGACTCATCAATCATTCATATTCACCAAGGTACGGGACCACAGCCCATGGACTATGGACTCTGCCAGGCAGGGACGGACCTGCTCCCACACCCACAGGCTGGTGCACATATAACAAAGTGGCAGAGTTAGGATGCTGGGGTTTTTTTTACATGGGTGCGGGGGGGGGGGAGCGGCTGGGAAAAGAACATGGAGACAATCATAAATGCAGTGTTTAACCAGTCTCACGACACCCTAGCTTGCACTTTGTCCAAGGTATTGAAGAAGAATAATACCGTCCAACAGAAGAAGTTCGTATGTGTTAAGTTTTTACGACGGATCCAGGCTAATTACCAAGTTCAGCCTATTTTATTTCGGTGATTTAGAGACTCCTTTAGACCAGTGAGGAGAATGGTTTTATACCTGTGCCCCATCCTCGCTGTAAGCAGTCCCCAGTTACCCACATTCAGGACACACAGAGATACCTATCGCGTGCCGGACTTGTACCAGATGTGTGCGTGCATGTGCCTGCATTATCATTGCAAGGTGGCCGCTGCAGAAAGAGGACATTTCTGAGCACGCACCATCCACTGCTTCCTCCTCTCATTCCCAAGGGCCATCAGGTAAATTGTTCTGGTGGTTGTGCCTAGCAAGCCAACAGTTGTCCCCCACCTCATATGATAGATTTATTTCCCTTCATTCTTTACAGTAAAGGAGACCAGTTTAAATAATGAAGAATTATTTCATTTAAAGCTATTTAAAGAATGTAAATTAGCTTTTCTTACCTGAGCAGGCTTCTTTTGAACCACTTGTTGAGGCTGAAAAGTAAAACAAAAGCACAGTGAGAAACAAAATTCACTGAGGTCACTTAACTGTGATTTCACAGATGCTGGGAAAAAATATTTTCAGCAATAGAAATAAAACACAGGCAAAGGCCACATTCAGAAATTAAGTGATGAACATACCCAGCTCTCACACCCAGCCTTTCCTACATCCATTTATGAGCTTGCTCTGAAGTAGTTCAGATTACTGTGGATGCAGAGGAGTATGTTAAGTTTGTATAATTAAAACCAAGGTGAAATCTAATTTAGCATGCTACATCTTTCAGCTCTTCTATGGTACTGCTAGATTTACTTTGCCGCATTACTTATCAGACTGTGAGAGTGGCCTGATTTTATAACTAGATTTTGTCTTCGCTGATGCTGTTCACTCTCTTTCCACACTGAGTGCAGCGTCCTGCTGTGGGGAAGCCCTCCCTCCTGGCCATGAGCAGGAACACAGCTCAGGCAGAGAGGTGAGGGACACATAACCTCATTCCCAAGCCAGGGCTTCCCACTTGACCAAAGCCATCCCTGCCGAAGCTAGGAGGCTGGGATGGGCAGCAGCTCCAGCCCTGGGAAGCTCTGGTTTGGGAGCTCTAGCTGAATGAAGGCAATGCTGTGCTGACCCTCGTGAGCCTGTTGACATGATTTCGGGGATGCCCATCACTGGGCTGGCTGGGTGCATGGCAGGGATGACTGGAGGCCGTGTCCACCTGCCTACATGGGACCTGGCGGCACAGCCACAGGCTCCTCAGCAAGTCTTCCTCCTGGCTGCTCCCACCCAGGAATGGGAAACACGGTCCAGATGTGTCAGGAGGCCCACCAAGGTGCCACTGCCCTTCATCCCCACCCCGGGGAGGAGGAGGAGTACTGATCAAGGAACTAACACAGGTGTACTTAAAATACACCACCACCACCCAGGTGATGTGACACCTTTGTGGGTGCTAGGAGCAGCACGGAACAATAAGACCACAGATAAAGGATTAAATCCTGACACAGAGGCACAAAAGGGCTTTTCTTACTTCAGTGGGGCAAAGCTGCCGCCTCCCCCCCACCCGCCAGGACTTTCTGTTTTCAAAGTATATGAATTGCACCCAATGATTTTCTTCCTGCCCTTCCTTCCTGCCTGTTCCTAATCCCAGCCGTGATCTTAGTGCCTCATTTGGGCAGAAGCCAACATGCTGTCCCTCTGCATGGCCAAAAACCTAATTTTCATGACAGTGTAGTAGGAAATAACTGGAATATTTCTGAATAAACAGTTTAGCGTAACTGGCCTTTCAGAGCAATATTTCAGTCGGAAGGATCAATGAAAATGTAAATTAAATGTAACTGATTCAGTTCAGACTGCCCACCACAAGCGTCCTATTTTAACAAGAGATGCTTTGTTTATTTTCAGTCTTTTTCTAATTCAGCAGAATCCTGTTGCTGTTATATTTTTCTATCTGTGCCTCAGGCTCCAAGTTCTGCTCTCAAATAAATATGAGAAAAAAAACTACGATGTGATGACTGGGTCTGTCTTTAAATTTCAGGGTGGACCCTTTTCCATTAAATTCCCTTGCAATGGAGAAGCTATTACCAACGCACACATTTTACTGATGCCTTCTCCAGGTGGACCGCAAGCCCTGAACTCATTAATGGACATTTGCTGCCCTCGGACAAAGGAATGATTTGTTTCAAAGGAATCCCTCGTAATTACAGAACTCACTGAGCTCTTCGGTAATCCACCACTAGTGCCTTTCCGCTTTCTTTTTTTGCCTGCTGATTACACCTGTACACGTGTTTACTCCCAAACCATATGAAATCCACAGACATTCTTAGAGGCTGACTGTTTTCTCCTGCTCAGAAATCCCCATATATTTTTGGCCGTGCACTCTGCATTCATGTGACTCTCACACACTGTAGCTCAATGAAATCTTCTGAAAGAGCTGCCAACTCACCAAATTTTCCATGAATTAGGTCCTGACACTTCAATGAGAGGAAAGACAATGTCTGAAGCAAGGCCAGCTCTGGCTTTCTGCCTAGTATGTGTCACAGTAATTCTACCAGCTGCCCTTCTACACAGCACTTCATACTTTTCAGACCACCAAAAAGCCCCTTGAATACTTTCAGTGATAGCTGGGGCTCAAGCTGCCAGCGTGTTTTCCCAGCCTCTGGCCCCCAGTGGCTCCAGACTGGACCTAGAAAGTTTTTTCTGTGTGTTTGTTTTGTTTTGTTGTTATTTTTATGAATGGCTTTCGCAGGGGATTCTGACTCTAGCACAATCCTATCCAGCCATTCATAAAAAGCAGAGGGAAAATATTGTACTTTGCCCAGTTGGAAACTGCCGCTGATACTGACCAAGGCTTTCAAGAATCTTAGTCATTCAAGACCTTTGCTATCGTAGTGCTTCATGTCGAGAGCTCCCTGGCAGTGCTCGCTTACTGCCGGCTAGGTTTCCAGTGGATCTGGGATCTGGAGTTCAGTGCGTGTTATGTTTTCTCCCTTAAATGGAAGAAGCACAGCTACGGAAGCTGAAAAGCAGGGCTCAGCCCCTCAGCTGGTATTCGCGGCACACACCACTGACACGCCGGGAGCTGTGCCCACTCGTGCCATGCTGAGAGCTCCAGCTTGTGGCGGCTGAATCACTGCAAGCGCTGGTTTTCAGGGGCATTGCTTTTCCTGCGTCAGCCTGGCTGCGTGGGAGAGCTATCTGGACGAATGCAGGCTTGATAAATCCAGCAAGGTCCAGTCCTGCAAGGATTGCAGTGTCCGCTCACTTAAGTCACCCCAAACCAGAACTGAGGCGTACAGGAATGATGAAAAATTTCCTAAGCACCCCCTTTCATTTCTTTAACTGTTGTGGATGTAATGCCTTTGGAAACGTCTTGACACGCTACAGATACAACGCCTCGACTCACTAAGCTTTGTCTTCAGTGAGTTAAGAAGTCTTTTCAGGGCTTCAAAGGAGACACCTCTGATTCAAAAGAGTGTTGCAACTGCATGTTCAACTAGCTGGAAAGAAAGAGAATCTGTCTTGGTTATGGAAAAGACTGGAAACATAAAAAAGCCAGGGACAAGAGTCTTTAAAGAGGTGCTTTGGAGCAAAATAAAGTTGTAGGCAAGACACGAGAGCTCTGAACTATTATGCATTCCCCCAGGAGCCTGCAGAGTAAGGTGGCAGACCTTCTGCTCTGCCAGAGGCTCTCTCACTTGTGTCAGTGATCATATGTAAGGGGAGCTTCGTGCAACGCAGGACCTTCACGTTTTATTTTTATCCTAAGTTTAAAAAACAGCTATTGTACACCGAATGTGTATCAGCTGGAAGCAAAATTCAGGTCTTCTTTCTATCATATGCAAGCACAAGTCAGCCTTAAGTAGCTTTCTTAAATCTGTATGAGACAGAAAGAAAAAGTGACTGTGTTGGAAAAATCCTATGACCATGTCATTCAAATGTCTATCACATAAGAACAAATCCAAAGTACAGCAGAATTTGTTTTGCCATGTTTAAACTATTAAGTATGTGAGCTAAGGCAAAAGATTTAAGGCTTCATGGTAAGATTCCTAACTTTGAACAGAAAAAAATTAAACCACCTAAAGAGGAAAATACACAAACCTTTTGGTGATTTTATCTTCGCTGTAAGTTTTGGATAGTCAAAGCCCAACTGTTTATCTTCTACAATACACTTCTTCCACTCCTCCTCTGTCACTTCACCCCTCATGTTTTTTTTTTATTTTTGAATTCTGTTACTTTACTCTTTGTCAATATCTTAGATGAATCCTTATAGCCTATACAGACACTGGTCAAACAATTTCCTTGCCTTCTATATGAGAACAAAAGAGCAGCCTCATGGGATGAGTCCATATTCATCTTGTACCAGCGGTCAAAAGTTGTATCAAATTCAATTTGTCACACTTCTCATTTGCTGGCGTACTCCTTCTTACCCTGTGACTTTTCATAGCATTATAAAAATAACGAAGGATAAGGGTAAGTCTATGTCAACTAGTATGAGCAATGCTGGAACGCATTTTCAATGGTCAGAGATAAAAGCACTGGTCTGAATGCAGATCATCCCCTGACTGCTGTGCCTGAAGCTCCAAGGGCAAGCTGCACACTCACAGTGCTTCTACATTTTGTGTTCGTGTCTTCCTCTTCAAACTGAGTATTATCAAGATGTTTGACTGATGCTTCTTGGCAAGAAGCATCAGTCTTTTATTCCCACAGCTTGACACAGACAAGACATTTGCATGGAGGTAGCTCTGCTGGTGAGACTAAATGACCATGATGGAAACTAATACCCGGTTAGGATGACATTTATAGTGCTGACAGCTCAGTGTTGCGCGGAGATCATTAAAATAATTTCATAGGTCACCCAAACACTTGTAGTTCTAAATTAAAAGATGAGTAAAACCATATTTAGTCTTTTTGTCTACATATCCTCAAAAAATCAGGAAGTTCATATTATACCAGTTGAAACCAATATAATCCAAAATAAATCATGTCTTCCAAGCAGTTCCATATGACAGCAGAGTAACTACTGATCTGCCCTACAGCTTTAATTGGTTCGAGTCCAGCCTTTCCCTCCCTCTTCCAGCACAGAGTGATACAACGGTGGGACCGGGGGGCCCAGGCAGCCTGGGAGAGAGCCCTCGCCTCTGGGCAAAAGCTACTTTCAGCTTCATGACCGTCAGCAGGGATCCACTCCAGACTGCACGGGATGGCGCGCCTGCCATTTGCTCCTCTGATCCAGGTATGCTCATGGCTTGCCTTAGAAATGATCTCCCTTTTCAGGGGGTAGCAGGAATAAATGCTTTTTTTACACCACCAGTAGTGAAGGGGGATGCCCTCTCCGCCCAAGCAGGGCTGGCTTGTGTTTTGGAAGTGTAGGTCATGAATTCCCCTGCCTCCATCGCATGTTTGCAGTCAACTGGCAACCGTGGTGTCTGTGTACGCACACTGCTGTGGGTCATTAGGATCTAACAGCAAAACCATCTGGCCCTTAGAGTTCAAAGGAGATTTC